GCACAGGCCATGAAGCCGATTCCCCCGGCCAACCAGTGAAGCGAGCAAGAACAGACAACGCCAGTTTGTTAGAGGCCAGCATCGATCAGTTATTCTCCTCGGAAAAGCTTAATGGTGACACTGTTAACTTGTATTTTGACTTTTTGAGAAATAATCGGGCATTTGGAGGAGGGAACTGGGAATTTTCAAGTTCCTACTTTTATCCTTCATTGCATCGACCGGTAGAAACATCTACATACTCCAAACATATAGGCAACAACGCTCTGTGGGAGTATAAACAACTAATGGTTCCAGTACACCTTCCTACTGCGAACCACTGGCTGCTGGTCCTTATAAGTGTTCTTCATTTATGCCTTTACATTTACGATTCCGCCAGCAACGTACCGAGAAATTTCTGATACCATCAAAGAAGGATTTATTGGAAACGAACTTCAGTGGCTTTCTGATGAGGACAAAACTCTTTTCCAGGAAAATAATTGGGACGCGTCCACACCTCAATGTCCCAACAAAAGAACGATGCTGACTGTGGTGTATTCACATGTCTTTTTGCAAGGCACTTATTGTTGTCGAGAGGCAACCATTCCGGCTTTACTCTCAACGGAGAGCCTCAAGCTGAAATAGTGAGCGATTTATTAAATCTTGCGTCAGCTTTGCGCGCTGAAAACGATTTACCCAAAGTTTTCCAGTGGACGGCAGACTACCAGCAAGCTTCTGACAACAGAGAATCCCCAAAAAAAACCGGTTGGATAAAAAAGTGGGAAATGCAGGACTTGCTTATCGCCAGCCCCCTAAGGTGGCAACTGTTTGTTTCATGCAATACATGACCAGCTACTTCGCCTCGAAAGAGTATCTCAGACTGCCACAAAAATACGCGCTGACCGAGTGAATTATCTCAGAAGTAACCAGCAATTCCAGACGGAACTCATCTCAGTGAATTTATTATGGAACACTTATCTGCGAAGAATGGCTATGGAAGTTGAATGGGGTGAGTGGATTGCTTTATGGGGCCTCATCAACATGCTCCAAATCCCGGTGGCAATAGTATTAAGCTTAGGAGAGACGGGATTGAAAGTTATCTATCCCGCTGATTGTCAAAACGAAGTGCAAGCCACTGAAGATATAGCCTTACTTGGCCATGAAGCTGAGCTTCATTATCATAGCCTGGAACGAATGGCTTCTCAGAATCCCCAACTAGCTATTGCCGAGGAATAAAAGCAAAAGTATGGTCATGGAAAAATCACAGAAGAAATTTGTCCAAAATGTGGACGAAAATTCCAGTGATACTCACAAGGTGTTTTTGAGAGCGGTGGAGCATTACAGTACTTCTCAGATGACAGCGTCTTTTGTAATAGTTGCTTAATGGATGAATTTTAGTTTGGAATTAGGTGCAAAAAAAACAAGCAGTGCCGCATGTTGGGTGGAAACGTATTAGTCAAAAACACTACGTTGTTGTATTTGTTGTTTTTATTAAAATTGTTGCTGTTGTTGCCAGCCGGGTGACGTCAATAGACTGACACAATTTGATTTAGGGATAGAACGGTATACCACGCCGGCATACCAATGTGTAACTAGTTAAGGAAGAATATGTAGCGTCTATTGTGTTATTGAAAAAAATCTCGGTCATAATTTAAAGGTATATAGTAAAGAGAATTCTAATTCCGTTTATGAAGGTGCCATTCATAACATCGTAATGTGAAAAAAGTTACAAAAAGAAGCCAGTTGGGATCAGATGGGTCGCCATCAGAGATAATTTCCGGTGTGGGATCATTTGCAGTCCAATTTGGGGATCATTTACGGTCCGGGATCATTTGCGGTCCTTCGATCATTTGTGGACCCATGCATACATTCTTCCTTTCGCTTTGGCTCTGTCGCTTTTGACGTCGAAGTGGTCTTCTTGTTTGGCTCTATAGGGGGCAACTTTTCTGGGTGATCTCTCAACAGTTACACAAACCATACCCTCATATTTTCGTGTTTTATCCTGAACATCTGGCTTGGTATCCGAAGAATTTCCTTTGTCCTTACTTTTATTGTCGGAGGCTGCTTCGGTCACAGGCGGCCCAAGCTCCAGCTGTGAGATGATTATCTTACGCAATAACGGTCATGGCGGAATTATAAGAGTTTGTATGGGAATATTTACGACCGCTCTAAGGAATAAAAAAATACGTCAAATTCTCAAAAAAAATACCTCACCTCGCTTCCACAGCGTATTGCTTGTTATCTGACCGCTTACTTTGATGAAAAGAGCCCATTTGAGCGAGTTGTTCATTTCGAGGTTTTCAACGTACATAAGAAAAGCCCAAGGCTGAACACTCCATTTCCGAACGCCTGATCCGAGAAGCGAAAAATCCAAGCTCAAAATGACCGGGCGGCCACAAATCCAACGCAGAATCCAAACACACACACTGTAGTTTCATTTCAATTCACTACAAACTCAATCTTCCCCGTGCAACCGACGCTAAGCCGCAGTTTGCTTCAAAAATTTCCAGTTTAGAGGTTTCTAACAGCCCGCGGCCACATCAACCTTGACACACGACCGTTGAAACCCTACCTCCTTTTCAAACTGAGCCTCGCCGGGGACCACACCGTCAGTTATTATCAATAAATTGTTTTAGAACCACGGGTCCCCTCAGGTCGAAATCGATCGAGAGGCTATTGTTTTATCCTAAAGTAAAGTACCGTCTGTATGCTACTTATAGCAGCCTCATTTGGTTTGTTCTCCAGTCTCTTTTGTTTTCCGTCTTGGGCACTGTTTTCTTTGCCCGCTGGTTTGTTTTTTCCTTTCTTTTTATCTTTTTCCTGTGTTGAAAAAAAAGACAGTTCCATGGAAGAGTGAGTGAATCAGTCTGCATGGAACCACCAGGTTTCAAATTCAACGATGAAAACCACTCAGTCGCACCGCATGCTTACAACATACCTTTTCTTCTTCGATTTCAATGGCCTCATGATCATCAAATGGTGTTTCTGTAAAAGAGTTCTTCCATTCCCAAGCAGAAAGAATTAGTTCGCGGACTTTTTCATTTAAGAGAACGTAAAACAGGAAGAAAGCAACTCCCTGTTGACAGAACAGATAAGGAAGTGTCCTTTAAATAATTTTTGTATCGAAGTCACATTTTTTTTCCTCTTATTATGAAGCTCGTCTTTTGAGTAAGCTTTCAACTAATTGTGTCATGTTCTGATTATCATTTCAGAACAAAAGAATACAGCAATAACTGATACTAAATTTACATCAGTAATGAGACTCAGTGTGTGGCCGTAATAGGCCTGTGTGAACTACTTTGTTTAGGATGTTTGAATGAAACATCCGGCTTACGTTCATCAAAAATTGGCAAGTATTAAATTTCTCGCGTGTAAAAACAATTCTCTTACCTGCATTGCGTTGAATATCAAGAATAAGGTGTGGTAGACATCTCGATCGATGTTCAAAG